TACCCCCTAACCCAAACCAAAAAAAACAGAACTAATTAGTAATTAGTATGATAGTTGTATTGTAATTAGTATTACTTATAATAGATAGTCTTACTAATATTATATATATATATATATATATATATATATATTCAATTTGTTTATTGGACAAAATTTGAGGTCTAAGGAGTATTGAGAAAGTAGGGAAGTGCCCCACCCCTCTTGAGGTGCCACCTAGGCATCCAACGCAGGCACTCTTTGCTATACTGAGAAACCCACTGCCAATATTTTAATATGTAAAAGAAATCTATCTACCTTGGAAGTTCTGCTAAGATTCAGCCTAAATCCAAACTCACCATTTCATGGAAATCTAGGTATATTGGCCCTTCTTTGAACCACCTAAGTCTTGACCTCTCATCTAGCTAATCACCTCTTGTCTCACCATGACTCAAAACTCCTTCAACTTTCCTCCATTTTTAATATCAATGATCTAACCAATATCATTGTCAATTATTCTATACTTCAAATCTCCATTAAAGGATAAAAGTTCATCCTTTGAGCTCTCCCAAGCCACCAAACACACGCTTGTTTCAAATACTTGGAGCTCTTTTAAGTATGAAAATTTCCTCATGAAATCTATTCCCAACTCACGCCTCCACATAAAATTAGGATGGTTCACAATACGCTTGTAAAAGGTCCTCTGTACAATTGAGATATTTCCAAGCAACACAGCATTGATTCCCTGAACTAATAATCCGTCAAACTTCCCCATGAGCAGATCTACCCAGTATAGCCACACCAGATGTAAACCCACTGAAGGAGGTCTAGCAACCGATTACAAAAATCAATAAAAATCTCCATGCATGTCCCAACTCCATGTGTTTCTCACAGGAAATTTTGGTCTTAGAAGTCACCTCCCGGCCACCAAGTTTGAGACAACAGTAGTCCGCACAGCCTCTAACAACCTCCATAGATACACCTAATTTGCAGAACATTCAACCAGTACATAATTGTCCACCCTTTGTGATACATTCTCCAAGAATAAAACTGTTATGATACCAGCTTGTGCATTCAAGCATCCTTCCTGTGTAACTTGTGCATCTTCTTTTTGAAACTTTACTTGGACTTGAAACACATGACAAAGGGGAAATCTATGCCACCATTCCATCAAACTTCTAATCTGCAACTTCGAACTTAGACAACTAAAGCATCATCAAGTCTACACCCTACTTCCAGATAAGATTCCAGGATCCTGCCTTTCACCAAACATCCCCAACCACAACATTAGTCTAGGTATCTCCATTGAGTTGCATATCAACATGTTTTTTCTAACCTCTTACCTACCTTCACAGGTAAATTGTCTCTCGAAGCATATTGAAGAAACTCTATTGGAGAGTTCCCTCACACATTTTCCCATCCATCTCCCTTCTTTCCTCCTATCATCACCATTTATCTTACCTCATCTTAAAATATTCTTCCAATCATCCAAATCCCAAGAATGCATCTACTATTTCACTTGACATGTTAGTTTCTACTTCCCTGATTTTGAAATCCACCTCTTTGAAAACATCTACATGCTAAATCATTCATGTCCCCACTTCAGTTCTTGATTTCATATAAATGGACAATATTCCAGTGGAGAATCATCTTTAGCATTGTAGACTAAAAGTATGGCTCAACAATTTGTTCCCAACAGGACAATTTGTTCCTTGATATAGCAATAGTGACAAGTGTCAGTGATGATATCAAACACTTGGCTTCTTCCCTAGAAATAACATTTAATCATCAGATCAGCCATAAATTAGAGCAGAGACTTCATCTTGCCCTTTCGGTCGGTTAGATCGAGAACTGAGAAGGTTTACAAGACCCAACCGTCAGAATCCTCACCAGGTCCTCAAAAATGACCTCAAAAATGACTTACTAAAATACCCCACTTCACAATGAGAAACAACAAGAACAATTGGCCCAGCTATCAAATAAAGTGAGAATCATCTTTTTTTCTTCATTTGTTAGAGTAAGAGAGGTCACCAAACCCAACAGCCAGTGCCACAACACAATTCTTCCTTGATTTATCAATCCTAAGAAAACAAAAATAATGACCTTAGTATTATTGCATTCTCAGAAGGCACTACCAATATCAATGGGGTCATCCATCAGTCCGAGTGAGAAAGTTTGGTTCTTTCTTTCAACTTGTTAAAGTGAGAAGGATCATGATTTGAATACTTGGGTTCTAAAAAAAACTCACAATAGCAACTGTTCAATTAAGTCATCCATGAAACACATTGAGAAATATTTCCTTGTTCAATTAAGTCATCCATGAAACACATTGAGAAATATTTCCTTGTTCAATTAAGTCATCCATGAAACACATTAAGAAATATTTCCTTTGTCCCATTCGATAAATTAGAGTGAGAAGGATAGATGGAACAAACAGTGAGAGCCAGAAACATTTTTTCCTTGATTTGTCAGTGGAAATAATGACATTACTACTTGGGTTCTACACAAGAACTAATAATAAAATGGTCAGCATAATTACAGTAAGAAAGTTATTATTTTTTCCCAAATTGTTTAGAGCAAGAAAGATCACAATATCAACATTTGAGTTCCCATCCAAAACTGCCGATAGAAATTAGAACATCTATGAATCAGAGTAAGATACTTCTTTTCTTCAATTGAAGGATCATGATCCAAATGTACTCACATTCCCAACAAGAGCCAACAACAACAACATTTGTACCACAGTAAGAAAGACTCACCTTTTCAGTCAATTAGATTCAATGAATCAAAGTAAAGTAAGAAAGGTATTGCCTTTTCAATAAATCATTAATTAGAGAAAGTACCGCCACCAACCTCAGTATCTGCTCAAGAGTGAGCCTCCCCTTCCTTCTCATTTCCGACTGCACCGACCGATCATACCTATCCATCACCACACACAGCCTCCCATCAACCCTCACAGACCCATGAAATGCGCACACATTCCGACACCACATTGACACCCGATGCAACCCCTCGAGCCGTCCCTGCACCCACACCGAGTCCTCCTCCACAAACTTAGCCGCCACCTTGTGCTTGCATCCACCCCCCGAGCCCACGAGCACACCAGCCCACGTCTCAGCCCTTCGACCCTCGCCGAGTCTCTGGGTTAACCTTAGAGTATGAACTGCTAAATCAAGGGGCCGGCCTGGAGAGCAACAAATTGAGCCAGCAGGGGGCCGGTCCGGGCCAGGGTCCTCCTCATCAGAGAAGTCATGGCCATCATGAATTAGAGAGAGAACGGGGAAATTCTTTTTTAGGGTTTCAACTGAGTTGCCAACAGTGGTGGGGTGACGGCACCGCGGGCAGGACAGAGAGTGGTCAGAGGAGGCAGCAAAGAGGCGCGTCAAGCAATCCCGGCAGAAGCCATGCCCACAATGGAGCAGCATCGGTGTGCGCTCGCCCTCGTCGTAGGCCATTTGGCACACTGAGCAAGTTGGGTTTTTCATGGTGTGGGGCAGAAAGAGAGAGATGGGGCTAGGGCAGTAGACAGCGAAGAGGGGCGATTGGGAGAGGAACTGGGACGTTTAGGGTAGAGAGAGAAAGTGACGGTGGAAAGTGGGGTTTGGCTTAGAGAGAAAAAGTGGGGGACTGTTGTCAGAGAGTGGGGATTTGGGGAAGCAGATCCATGGGAGTAAGGGGTCCCCTTAAGAAGGAAGCAGCCTCATAAGCCCAATCGTGCAAGCAAAAACCAGCTTGTTCATGGAGTAACAGCGCCCCTTCTCTCTCTCTCTCTCTAAAACTCTCTCTCTCACTAAAAAAGCAACAGCTTCTGTCAATCTCACGCCGGCTCCCACTTCTCTTCTTCTCGCCAAGTCTCCCTCTTTCTTCTCTCTCTCTAACTCTCTCTTTCTCTCTCTAACTCCCTCTTTCTTCTCACTAGCTGCATTCTGGACTCCCTAACATACAATCTTGAGTATTTTCTCACTCCACTTTTCCTAAGCTCCCATCTCCCTCTTTCTCTCTCTAAATCTGCTTTTCCTTCAGCAAACGCTACCTGTTTCCCTTTGCCTTCCCTACTCTCCCTCTCTATCCCACGCCTTTACTGAAAATCCTCTTTCCAGCACCCTTTCTCTCTCTAAAAACACCCTTTCTCTCTCTAAAAACTGCTTAATTTAGCAAGCCCTACTTGGGACTTACCCCCAAAATGACCAAGAAAACTCAATGTTCCTCTCTCTCTTCCTTATTAGCCAACAAAACACACTCATTTCATCAAATTACTCTTTCTCACTCTAACAATACCCTCTCATGCCCAAATCACACTCTTCCTCCTCTCTCTCTATCTCTCTCTCAATATATATCGCACGTGGAGTGTACATGAAAGTAATGGAGAAATCACCGAATTGCCCCTTCCATTTTCTTGAAATAACCAAAACGAGCTTGATCCCTATATATCGGGTGAGGTTTGTATAAGGTGGGGTCGCAACGGGTTGGGTATCGGTTAGGTCTGGCTGGATCTGGACACGAATAATATTTGGGTCCGGTTTTGAACTCATCAAGTCCCCAAAATTGGACTCATACTATACCCATCGGGTCTTGACTCTATAGTCTGAGTCCCAGTCTGGTCGGGTCCATTGCGACCCTATGACTTGAGTCCCGGTCTGGTCGGGTCCATTGCGACCCTATGACTTGAGTCCCGGTCTGGTCGGGTCCATTGCGACCCTATGACTTGAGTCCCGGTCTGGTCGGGTCCATTGCGACCCTATGACTTGAGTCCCGATCTGGTCGGGTCCATTGCGACCCTATGACTATGAGCTTCTTCTTTTCTTTTTTTTTCTGTTTTTTTCTTTTTTTTTAACCATCATATGCTGATATTATTGGCAAGGTTACAATCACCCCCATTAGATGTCATGCCATTTTATTTGTCATTTAATAGTTAAATATGACTACGAATTCTTATATATACGATTTTTATTTTTTTTACAATATTCAGGGCTTTTATTGATAAAATTGTTGCAAAACTCTAATTAAGGGAACATAAATAGAAATGGGAAAGATAAACGCGTAACTTAGCTAAGTGGTCAACATAATCATTTGCATCTTGATAAATATGAAAAAAAGAAATGAAAAAAAAAAAAACATATGGCCAAGTGAAGCACAAATGTTAAGATCTTTAGCCAAAAGACACGAAGGATCAAGGGATTCTTTACTCTTATTTACACCATTTGATAACATTTACACAATTTGGTAACATTTAGAGAGAGAAATCATCTCAATCCGGTTAGGTGTAGTAGAACCACATGCCCCATAACAAGAGAAGATAGTGGCACCCTCATGATCTCTAAAAAGACCACCGTCCATCAGGAGGGGTCCAAGTGAAATAAGGTTGGTATTTTGGAACATAAGAGAAGGCTACGCTTTAAATTAACAAAAATATCTATATTTAAATTTCAAATGTCAGCAAAATTTCAATTTCAATCTTTAATGCTAGCACGATCCCAAGACATCTTTAATGCTAGAGGATCCAAAGACCTCACTTTTAAAGTGAGTATGTTATGCTATAGAACATATCTATCATAAAATAGTACTTCGGATGTTCCAAATAATAGTTCCTATTTTGGACAAAGATAAAATAGCACTTAGGATATTCCAAATAATAGTTCCTGGTTTGGGCAAAGATGGGAAGTTGAGATGATTAATAACTAAAATAAGATTTGTTGCCATGATAAGAGTGATACCAAAAAACTGAAAGTCGACTTCCAAATATCGGCAAAGGAGCATAGCATAAAGATAGTACTTGGACAACCTTAGACTAAAGTAGTCGATTAGCAGATTTAACAGAAAAAGACCCACTCGTCACTTTCACTTTCCCATATAATAGATAATAAATTATGAAATTGTGAAATAAAAATAAATAATAAATCACTTTCCATATAATAGATAATAAATTCTGAAATTGTGAAATAACATAGATAATAAATTATGAAATTATGAAATGAGCGAGAGAATAAATCTGAAATTTTTGCTGCCGATGTCACTTGTTGAAAATTTCATTACCATTACCAATAAGCCACCCAAATTTCTGAGCACTAAAGTTTTGTAACTATAAATTCCCTTCTAGATTTGTGAAGAAAATTTACCTGATTTTTTTAATAAGATGAGTGAATGCTTCAAAACAGTACTTTGCGAATAAGACATCGTATATGGTCCTTAATACACCCAAACGACACCCAAACGAAAAAAGGATTAAAATAAAATATTTTATCACCAACAGTTTATGGGTACGGATTGGGTCCGGTTGGACCCAGACCCGAATAGTATTCGAGTCCAAGTTTTGGACCCGGCCCTGACACGTAAGGTTAAAAACTTGGGCCCATAACCAGACCCAAGGTCAGGTCTAACCATCGGGTCTCGGGTCTGGTCGGGTCCATTGCTACCCCTAGTATAAGGTGCCCAATACAAATAAGGGTGTTCACAAAGAAATCTAACCGGAATAGACTATTAAAAGTTCATTATCGATATGTGTCCAAACTTGTTATTTTTCAAACAAGTAGACTGTGGGCGCTATCGAATTGCATGTTACGAGAGATTGGTCTCAAAAGACTTCTTTCTCACAATTTGTCGACTGAGCTGGTTTAGGTTTATGTACAACCAAAATAAAATATGAAAATTTAAAGAAAATAATAGATATGATTTTTAAGAAAAGAGAGAGCATATAATAAATAAAATAAAATAATTGAAGAAATCATCTGATGTTGGGGCTCTCAGGCCTGACACTTGGAGTTGGTTTGGATCGAATGGAAAGTATCGAGTCTCATTCATTGATCCTCAGAGTTATTGATCAAGAGATTTGAATTGAATATTCCGAGGGAAGTGTTGTGTTTATGAATGTTTGTCTAGGGTTTTTAAAGCTGGAAGGAATGTTCTTCTCTTTGTTCTAGTTGGACTTTGGTTTTGAATTATAGGGATTTAGGTTTTTGGTATCACTTAAAGGTCTATGAGGTTTTTCTCCAGCTTTTGCTGGACTGGGCTGGGAGACTAGATTTTATTTTTTCGTCACCCAAGAGTCCTTAAAATTGACTGGGTGTCTCATATTTAGAGGATAGTTACCTTGAGATCAGCAGATCTAGGTGGTCGAAGCCTCAACGATGCATATCGGGTCGTTGAGATCTCCTAGCCCATAAAAATGTTGCTCAACTGTTTCCTATTTTGGGAGTTGGTTGGTGCAGTTCCAAGAGTTTTGGTGAGATTTCATGGCTTTCTTTTAAAAGGAAGTTGGGACCTGTCAAATTTGGTTTTGATTTTCCTAAAAATGGCTTCTTGAAAATATTTGAGGAATATTTTGTGGTTTAACCATTATCTGGGGTGTGGACCACAGTCTTGATGTTTCTTGTGGTTCATTAATCTAGTGTGGTACCTAATATTTAATGTTACAGGTTTTTGGGAATCCCTTAAGCCAAAATTAATTTGAGAAAAAGGGGCAACTTTAAATTTTGCTACAAGTTTCAATGTTGGAAATTTTATAATGGTTTGAAAGTCTATGTTCAATCCTAATTATGAAATTTAAAATTAAAAAATAGTGCAGATCAAATTGATTTATAAATATGTAAAAATCTTGAAAATAGATTGTCTATATCACTCTTACAAGATGTACTATATTTAGGAATTGAAATTCTTTGTTTTCTTTACATGCATAATCTCAAGATCAAGATGATAAATTTGAAGGTTCTCCAACTTTGAAACACTATTTTCTATTGGACTTGAGGTGCACCTTACTTCTACAATATAGGTTGTAACTTTATATAAACTTTTTCGTCCAACCCTCCGTCCCACAAATTAAAAAATGACATCTTTTGGTGTTTATATGCAATGTCCCTATGATGCCTCAAGGTGTGGCACAGCTCTAGGTTTGGCCCAAGCCGGCCCGAATCCCTATGGCATTGACCTCATACTATCTCCATTCTGAGTGGCTAGAAAGGGCCCCGGCCCGATAGGTTTGAAGGAAAAAAAGTAAAGGAAACAAGGAAACCAGAGCATTTAGGATGGGCAGGTTTTGCCATAGCACTCACCTAATACCAGCTCGGCCTGGCCATAGTAGCCCAATTCTGGCCGGTCCTTGAGTTACATTTTGTGATCCAAGCCTTAGTTTTTTTTTGGATGCATGATGAGCCAACCCATTGCCAACCCTTGAAGCACCTTTGAGGTCAAAGGTATTTTAAGGTATTTTGGACAATTTAAATAAAGATGATCTGGACATTTTAGAATAGAACTTGGGTTATTTTAAACCACCGTGGAAAAGTGCCGAAAAGACCCAAGAACCCTGAAATTTTCTATGCTCGAGAATGCCCCTCATGTGACTCAATTATATCCAAGGTATCCTTTGACGGATATTTTTGACTAACATTCAATTTAGGTGTTGATTTTCATTGAGAAAACCTAGTGTTACAATGATGTCTCAATAAAATATTCATGAGAAAATCTTCACCCACCAATGACCTTTGAAAAGTCATCGAACATGTTAAATTTTCTTCATTGAAACTCGCCCATTAAATAAGGGCCTAATGATATTTCACAAGGGACTGAGGGTATTATAGTCTTTTAGAAAGAGTTTTCTTCAACTGTCCGCCGCACTGACAACGCTCGACTTCTGAAAACGCGCGTGGACGGGCCTTTTTTTTTTTGGACACGTTTCCAAGTCTTATAAAGCTGAGTTTTTCTTAATTTACAAAAAAAAAAAGAAGTTATCGTTCACAATTAATCTTGATTGAAAGAAAAAATTAGGTCGCCCCATTCTTTTATTAATCAATCTCAAAGTCAAAAACAAATTCGCTCGAACTTTATGCTACACTCTAAGCTGTCAGATTTCACATTGGACATCTCTGTACCAAAGGCAAACAGTCAAATTGTATACAATCTCGTTACAAAATATATGAATCCAACATGCTACAAAATATTTTGAAAAAAATATATAATGAGATTATTTATCTTTAGTATAAGGTGGTCACAATTAATCTTGACTAATGGATGTAAAACTAAATGGCTACATTCTCTATTTTTCTCTTGTATGCATTGTAAAATATACTTGGAGATGAATGAAAAGCATGTGTGAATGTTTAATAAATTAATTAATTAATTAAATGGCTGCATTTATTCTAGGGAAAAGTTTATATAGAGCCGAGGCTCTAAACAATGAAATTAGAGCCTACCACATAAATTTCACTGGAAGAGGTTGTTTTGATGCTCAAATATCTTCAAATTGATCATCTCGACATCAAGAGGTATGGACATGAGAAAAAATTGGATTTTAAGTTTTGGAAA